AGCTGCTTAGCTTGAGCTCGACGACCACGAAACTGCAGGAAGCCGAAAAGTTTTTGGGTTGGAAGTTGGAGGAGCTCAGCAATTCCTTCCTCAGTTCGCCTGCTCTGTCTGGATGGGCAGAACTCGAGGACTGTGCTGTTGATGCCATGCATGCTTATTGGAGCAATGGGGTCGTTGCACAGGAGCTAGGCCTCTGGTTTACTGCTCTACTCGACAACTGCGACCTCAACCTTGGACATGTCCGAACCTACGTGCAAACAGGTTGGACTCCATGCCCTGCATCTGGCACAAAACAGTCCGAGATCATGGCTGCCTTTTCCGAGAGCCTCTGGCGAAAAAACCAAGACTTCCGGGGTGATGCGCAAGCCTGCCTAAAGGTTTTACCCTTCTGTGTGCAGTTTGGAGAAGAAGTCCTCCGAGGCAACGTCTGTCCTTATATGCACGCTGTCTTGGATTCGCTCAAGGCTTTGAACCGTGTGTGCCTCTGCATCCTGCGCTCCGAAGCAGATGTGTCGCAGAGCACGAACTTACTCCCGCTGCAGACAGACCACATGCGGAAGTTCGATGTTGCGCATGGGCGACAACACCGTCCCAAACTTCACTTTGGCCTTCATATCCGCGAGCAATGCATTAGATGGCGGATCCTAGTAGACTGTTTCACTTGCGAAAGGAAGCACAGACGCTTCAAGCATGTGGCAAACAATGTGAAGGCATTGAACCAATTCGCCAGGTCCTGTCTGCTTGAGATAGCCACGGGCGAAGTGTGCAGTGATGTCGCCAGTTGCGATGCCAGACTAGAGGGTGCGACCCTGGAGTGTCCGGTCTTGGCTTCCGTTCTCAGCTGCTCCACTCCTCCAAGGCTGGCCAAGAAAGTCTGCTTTGATGGCCTTACGGCACGGTCAGGAGACTACTTCGTGCTGTCGCCTGAACTGGCAGTGCTTGCTTGGGGGGGCCTGGCTGTTTCTGCTCGATCGGAAACCCTGTAACCTGGGACCTTTTTACTGGTGGAACCCTTGGTAGCAGTGAGCATCAACCGGAATGTTCGATATGATGGATGCACTGAGTGGCACTCTTCCGATAAACCTCTGGCTTTGCTGGACGTCACAGCCCTGTCTCGAGTGCACCAAGTGTCTTTCGCTAGGGAAAGTAGGAATGCTGACGGTCAACTCGTTGTCTCACTCTTGCAATAGTCTTGTTGCATGTCTCACCCTTTCATTAATTATGTCCAGCTGCGGACAAAACGAGTCCTACAACATTTGACTGTTTTCATGACGAGTGTCGCATGGTTTCTAGGCCAAATCCAAGCAAAAATCTCAGAATGTCTCTAAGTGCAAAAAAACCATCGAAAAACTTAGCGAGAAGTTAGCCTACTTATAAGTAACTTACAAGTTGGCTAACTTAGTTGGTCTGTAAGTTCTCGGTAACTTCATGCTAACTGTATAAGTTCCCCGCGTCGCCTTAGTATGGCCACAGTTGTAGCGCAGAAAGCGTACAGGCGAGCCTGCTGGCGATTCCGGGACTTCAGACTCCTTGGAATTACTCTTCTCACACACATAATCATCTTAAGCCCCAAAGCCACCCGGGTCCCAAGTTCCAAGGCTCCGCATCGAATCTGGTCGTATGCTATACTGACTCTGGTTATTCTGGCAATGCGTCCCGTAGCTGCAGAGTAGAACCGGGGGTCGCGTCCTCGGGACCGATATCGATCGGGAAGCCAAGGTGTGAGATCGAAAAAATTGGTCTCCACAGTGCGTATCTATCGACCGAAACTTCGTCAACTTCGCAACAAAGGCCAGGCAGACACATGTGTCCCTGGCTTACCGGCCCATTGTGCCACATGTTCCCCACACAAGCTTCCATGTGCTGCACAGGCCCTTTCCCTGGTAAGGGTCTCACTCGAATCTGCACCGCAGCACTACCTTTCCTGCTCAATGCCAGCACATCGTGAAGGGCAAGGGAAACGGTAAGGAACGTCGATGGACATGGCGGGATCGAGACCATGGACCCATTTGCCGAGAGCCAGATCGTCGTTAAGGATCACTGCGTGAACAGAAAGTGCGCAGAATTTTCGGGCGTGATCGTCATTGGGACGATGATTCGCAGGTAGCCGACTGATGATACGCAAGCTCTTCGGATTGAACAACGGCGACAATCTTGTCGGAGCATTTTTTTCAATGATGGCCTGGCAATCACGGACGCAATCTTCAGTTACTGATCTAAGACGTAGGTTGTGCAAACTCAGAATGCAGGGGGACCGTCTCGCAAGCACATGGTTGACGGTCCAACGAAGAGGGCCATGCTTGTGACTGATATGGATCGAGGACGCTTGATCCACGTACCTGCAGAGCTGCGACTGAAGAGAAGTGATGTAACGAGCTAGCACAAACAGCATCCATCTAGGTAGGGATGACTGGCTTGCACGTGTGTGTGTGTGTGTGTGCATCCGTTTCTTTCTTCAGTGACCTTTCTTGCTCACAGACGGCACAAAAGCTCCGACGTGTGCCCTGTCACGAGTTTCTGATTTCTAATTGGGACGTAAGGCTTGGCAATCATCACACATATTGCCACGGAGCAGAGTAATTGCGCTTTATCGCGCCGAAACCTTCCAACTCGTGCGTAGAGCCGAAGGCCCCCACGGGGGGCGCTGCAGGACATCAACGCATGCATCAACGGGCTTGAACGTTGCTTCTTCAGATATTCTGCAATGGAAAGCATCAAGCTGATCACGTCAAAGAGTCCAAGAAAGAGGAAGCCACCATCGCAGGCCACGGCGATCGAGAAAGATGTCCAGGACATTGTCAGAGCCTTGCCTACGGAACGCTTCCTTGCCGTACCAACATCAATTACACTGCAACCCCATGCGGGAACAGGTGTGGAAGGCGCCGATGAAACAGAAGACACAAATTTCAATTTTTTCACCAGGTGTTGATGTACCTCGGCTAACACATGAAGATGTCACTATGGACGGTGGACAGCCAGAGGAGGAAATCACCAGCACAGTGCGAGATGATGACTTGGTAAACAAAGTGAAAGCCAAAGCATGGGACGCGTTGGGATCTCGTCAACGGTAGCATTGAACTCCACAGGAACACTTTGTGTACTGTGCGGAAGTTCACAGCATCCCTACAGCGGGTGCAGCGCTAACCCTCAGCTAAAACGGCAACTTTCCGAGACCTTCGAAGTCATGAGAAAATCTAATGAGTCATACCCGAATGTGCTACAGACGGTACGATCTCCTGACGATGGCCGACCAAGTGGCGAACAACGAACGACTGGATCCACGGACAACGCGGACGTGGAGAGCGTCGCACCATCTACAAAGCGGCCAAAAGCAAAAGCTAGACCCCGACAAGGCGCAAATGTTGCACCTGGAGGAATGTTTGTCGTCGAGTACGAACGAAGCCTCTACTTGTCGGACGCCGTGCGTCGCAGGAGAGGCCTGAATGACATCCGCGGCGAGCCGATTGCGAACGTTGGACTCAGCAGTCATGACTTGGTCGTCGAATAAGCGTTAAGACGCATACATCTTACAGAGACAGCGTCATCCCACAACTTGGAGATCGAAGACTGTGTCAATTTGTTGATGAGAGTCGAAGACATCTAGGTTACACCAACAGTGCATACACCTGCATTTCTGATGGAGCGTCATGCGGAATTATCCAGCAAATGTTCAAAAGAGGTTGTTCATTCTGCCATCCCGGATGTTGCACATTGTGGAAGGGGCCAACCTGGCCGCGTTCTTCACCTACGACCAGAAGTGCCAGAAGTACTATGCCAATCAAGCTGTGTTCTACATTCAGAAGGACCTGAGGCATCACATTGAGAAAACCGAAGGAAGCTACGCCATCGGAGGATCACGAATTCCTCCAATCGCTTGTGATGAAGCTGGCTGGGTGAGACTCGACACTATCTTGGAGATGGACGTCCTATGGTGTCATCCACACAAAAGCTTGGACACCAGGCCTCTATGACAGAACAGAACGCAAACGCCAACTCAACAACAGATTGCAGATGTTGTTCGACGGGAACCACCTGAACTATGTGAACTCTGGAAAGACTCCATTGCAATTCCTCGGATTTCGGTTGGCTGAACCATCGAACCGAGAAGGTGTCGAGCATGATGCTCAACCGTTCGACAACAGATTGATGAGTGTTACGACACGTGGAGATTGACCCCTCAAAGTTCACATTGTCGGTCAGCAACACGCTCGTCAACTTGATCAAGGGTCCGTACCACTCTACGGAGTATTACAATCTCAAATCCATCATGGAAGAGGGCATAAAAGCTGGTAGGGGTCTCGTTGGGAACCGCAGCATGTCCGGCCGTTTGCACAGTCACTGGGGTGTGTTTCCACCGTGGGATGCAAGACATCAAGTGACACGCTATCGGTCAAGCGTTGACAGGCATATACCTTGGTCACCATCTACGTTCCGCTCATCGACATTGTTCGTGAAGGAGGCAAAGTGACAGGAAGTGGTATCATCATTTGCAGCAAGCCAATTCCCTTTCGGCTCGTGAAAGAAGTCTGGCTTTGTATACCGAATGGAGGTCACCGAAGAGACTTCGAAATGGTGGAAAAGATCTTGGACTATGAGTTGGAGGATGAGGTTTGCGTGGACTACATCACGTCACCTGCAGCGCAATCCATGAAGACCTACCGATCTCTGACGGGGCTGTTATGTGATATGCAACATGGACCACATGATGCTACCAGAGAGGTATAAGTTGCGCGACTTGGAGAATACTGCCATGTCCCGTGGAACAACACCAGTTGGAGCCGCGGAGTTCCTCATTACGCACAATTTGCCGAGCAGTCAAGTAAGGACAAATCGTGACCATGAACTTCGTTACAGAATATGTCCTTGGTGCATTGAAAACGTTCCATCATGCCTATCCAGATGTGCACACTGTTTCTCTGTTTTCGTATCTCGCTCGCGATGTGATCAGCCAAGCAGCAGAGGAAGCAGCAGCAGCAGTCAACGCAAATCCAGTCGTCGACAACGACGAGGATGACAGACAGACTATTGCTGAGCCATATGAAGAATCGGACGCCGATGAAATCATGCCAGAACCTGCAGAGGTGGAAGACCATGAGCAAAAATCGAAGAGGTCAGCTCCCGGCAGCCGGTACTGATCAATGATGGAGATATTTTCACTTGGACCAAGAACTGGTTCATGCAAGGTCATGCATGCAGTGCCCATTTATGCTCACATTGAGGCAGCATATGCCACGAACTCGCTCGCTATATGGCATATATCGTCGCCAACTACATGCACAAGAACTGGAAGGGGAATGTGAAATGGTTGGATTTACCATTGTCAACAATGAGACAATTCTTTCAGCAGCACAAGAGCACAAGAGGTACGACGTTCTCGGTGATCGGGGACCGGTGCTATCACAAGTTGACAACAGTACTGGGACTTCACGAGTTGTCACAGATGAAGAAATTCTCGCACGCGCGAGAGGTCTCAGAGACAATGATGATCCAGACGGCGCCTGCCTGCTCAATAAGTTCAGAGCGCATCAGTTGATTTCCAGATTGATGCGGGGAGCCATTCTTCTTGGGTATCGGAGAGATCACTTTGATCCAGCTTACCACATGCGCGAAAAACCAGAATGAGGATGCACCGCGAATGCACTCCAGATGTTTCACAATGCTGTCGAAGCTCGTTTGCAAAATTACGAGGTACCGACAGTACTCGCTGCTGCAGACAAGACGTCACAATAATCACCAGAACGTACTTCGCATTGATCCATTTGGCATATGCATAAATGCTGGGCGTCAAAACTGCGCGCAACAACTTCTGGCGGTGATAGTGGATCTAGACATTCAGATGCAAGCGAAATTTGTCAACAAGCTTACATCAGGCAGAATGCATGGTGCTCAAACCAGGAACAACACTGCTTTACAGCATTTCCACGGAAGTTACCTTCCTGATGGACGACAAAGCATCCTGGATAGAGCTGTCACCCGCGAGGAAGCGGAAGAAGCTCATGAAGCTCGCCGGGCGAAAGCTAAAGCACGACCCCGGCAGCCACCGGAACCCAAAGGACCTCCTCCACAACATCAACGCGATCGATGGCAGCCCAGCCAGGGACGATGCAGTCAATGGTCAGAAGGTTCATCATCAGGATCTCAATATCACCGAAGCTACCATCAATGGAACAACGACCGTTGGGATGAGGGATTTTCTACATGCGCATTGCCGAACGCGTCGATTACACCTTCCTGGACATGGCTGAATGCACCACATTTCGTGCATATTTTCTTCGATGTATGCATCCTTTCATTTCTCACAGAAACAGGGGATCGCAGCCGACGTAGCTATGTTTCACGCAGCGTTTAATTGGGCAGTCATACACACACGCACACACACAAGAACAATGCCATTTGCCGTCGAGTTATCTTTCTTTTCAGGTCCTGCGACTCTCTTCCTATAGCTGAGTAAAGCTCAAAGCTTCACTCAAGGGGGGTGCGAAGAGACCTCGAAGCCTAGCACATTTCTGGGCATCACGTTTGAGCTATGTAACGTGTGGGCAACCTTCGGTTACCAGACATGGGCAACCTTTGGTTACCAGGCGACGACCGTACCATCTACTCCGGCAATCGTGGCTCAAGGGGCTCAAGGGGCCAAGACTTCAAAGGGCTCGAAGCTCAAGGAACTAGCGTACATAGTCAAGCCATTGATTCCTATCGTCAGTCAGCGTGTGTGTCGCCCCCTCTGCACAGACACCTTAACGATCTGAGCAAGGAAGCCAAAAGACGTCCGGGGTTGCCTGCAGGGGAAGCGTCATATCTATCAGTGGGCGATTATTCTACATCAAGTAGCTCTGTGAGGTGAGCGATCAGCAAGATTATCAATACTAAACCCTCACGCAACAACAACAACTACTACTACTACTACTACTACTACTACTGCTACTGCTACTGCTACTGCTACCGCTACCGCTACCGCTACCACTACCGCTGCCGCTACTGCTACTGCTACTGCTACTACCACGACCACTACGACCATTTAGACATTGACAGGAGACGAGGGCGACTACTTGGAAACGTTCAGCACCCTTGTTCGCGAGAAGTTGGCTGCCCGAGTGGAATTCCTTGTGGGTGGCTTCACGTTGTGCGAGGGCTGCATTTATGAGAAGAGCGCAAAAGTCCGAGCAGCAACAGTAACAGCAGCAGTAGCCTTAGCTGTAGCGGCAGCAGCAACAGCAACAGAAATACTTACCATGACTGTGATTATTATCATTGCCATCGTAGTACCAACAGGAAGGAGCGGTATGTAATCAGCTTCCAGTTGTATGTGGGTCCTTTCCGTTGTGTATGCGGGTCTTAGAGTTTAGAGCTTGTGGAGCCATGGCTTAGTGGGGTAGTGTTCAAACTTATTATAGGTGATAGGTAGGACAACTTGAGTACATGCCGCTGACCCAGCACCGCGTAGGCTGGGTAGGGTAGTGGGTAGCCTTACGTGATAAGGCTGCTGACCCGACTCCGCGTAGGCCGAAGCTCGTAGGTGGTGGGTAAGCTTAGCAAGGTAGCTTTGACTCAGTGTGTGCTAGGGCGGTTGACCCAGCAACACATAGGCTTTGCAGCGTAGTGTTGTGGGAGGTGGTAAGCGGCTGACCCAGCGCCGCATAGGCCGAAGGCAGTAGGTGGTGCGTAGCTCAGTGTCAGCGTTGGTGTTGTTGTTGTTGTTGGTGCTGGTGGTGGTGGTGGTGGTGTTGTGGGGTTGGTGTTGGTGTTGCTGGCGGGGGTTGGGGTGGTGGGCCATTCAGGCGTGGGTACTGTGGGGGGTCGGAATTAAGGTGTGTAGGCTAGGAGTAAGTTAGGAGTAGGGCTTGGGTTGGGCGTTGGGTTTGGGGTTCAAGGCACATTTCCCTAAACCCACAACCTTCCGGCCTAACCCCTAGAGGCCGTAGACATTCAACCCTAAGCCCTAAACCCTGGACCTTACACCATCCCACACCCTCCTTAACCCTCAACCCTAATTTCGAAACCAAGAAGCACCAGAACCCCACACTGCTTCTTGAATCCCACACCCCAAAATGCAGAACCGTGAGGCCAATCAAAGCCTCCAATCCTACGCATTAAATCCTCAAAACGCGGAGCCCCAGCAACCGAAGCCTTGAAAGCCCCAAACCCTGAATTCTCAAGACCCGGAACTCCTCTTCAAACAGCAGTAGCAGTAGTAGCAAGTAGCTCTACGAGTATCAGTGGGTGGTAGAAGTAGTAGTAGTAGTAGTAGTAGTAGTAGTAGCAGTAGTAGTAGTAGCAGTAGTAGTAGTAGTAGTAGTAGGAGTAGGAGTAGTAGGAGTGGTAGTGGTAGTAGTGGTAGTGGTAGTAGTAGTAGTAGTAGTAGTAGTAGTAGTAGCAGCAGCAGTGGAAGGAGGCGGAGTAATAGCAGCATCTGATGACGGTGTAACGGGGGTGGTGACCGGGGCTGTGCTTTCTTTCCAGTAACTAGTGTTCTCACAAAAAAGCAGAAAACATCTGGCAAACTTGCAGGAGGCCTCCGACTAGGGGATCAGATTTACCATGTACTGAGATGACCCCTCAACGATAATGTTGGGTTCCGCCAATCGGCCGCCTTCTTGTATTTGCAGTTTTTTGATCACTAGACTATGACCTCAGCCATGCAATCCAACTCATCCCAGACAGTGCAGTCAAGGCGGTAGAGAAGCTGTTTTCCTGAACCGGTGACCGAACTTACAAGGAGTTGTCTCACCTGGAGCTTGAAGAATCAGATGAATCCTTTATGGAACACTTGGAGCGAAGCTGTTCTTAAGGCCAATGACGTACTTGGTCTACATGGTAGTGGGGAGCCTTGGCAATCCGAGCTTCTCAGAGTTTTAGATGGCGGCAGGTGTGAGTTCATGGTACCGAGCACACGGTTTGCGACAACCCAAACCTGACACGAACAGACTCCTTCGCCATGCCTGAAGTCCTTGTTCTCAAAATTAAGCATCCCAAGTCGCATTAGAGCTGCTTTATCGACCGAAGGTGTTCGCATGAAAAACCGAGGAGCAGCGTGCCTTACCTGGCAGATCACGTCGCTTTGGCCATCTCGTGGTTTCCTTATCTATCCGGTCTTGATCTCTTTACTTGGATGCTGCGGGACCTTGTGCCTGGGCTGCTCGAAGTAGCGGTTCAGCAGAGAAGGATATGACTTGGACCAAGTCGATATTCTGTTTAGACAATGTCTTGCGGTGATCGACCTGCTGTCTAGGCTCGTTGCTGAAAGTGCTTCAGGTTTTGGTTGTCCGAGTCTGAGTCTGAATGATATGGTGCATACATTTTTCAGGGATCGGAGGGCTTCAAGGCTTGTTTCCTTCTGACCTGGCAATTGTATAGTCGCTCACCCGTGGCCAGAGTCAGCTCTGTACTATCATACAGATGATAATGACGATCCAAATCTCCACGCTCGTGCAGAACTGCTTAGTGCTACGCAGCCAGGTAGATTGGGGCATGGCTCCTGTCACAAGCCTGTTGACAGCGAAAACTTGCTTGCCGCTGCTGAAGCTGGGGTTGCAGCTGCGGTGGAACAACTCCCAGTGTTGCCGCTGGAGTATTGCATTCCTGCAGCTGGGCTCGACCATAAAGTTGGGGCTTCATCAGGACTGAGGATTCAGGGTACCTGAGTTTTTATTTCAGGAGCTCGTGCCTTCATGCCCGACCCTTCTTGAGCCGAGACAAGAGGGCCAAGCAGACATCGCCTGAAGTCACAGGACAGGAGATCCAGGGGCCGGCAAAAAGCAGCGACATGTAATCAGATTTCACACTGAACATCAAAGAATCATGCAATAAAGCTACAGCCTATAGCTCTACAGTCGCAGACCCCAGCCAAAGAGCGAAAGACCACGTAGTACACGCGAGCCACATGCGCAGACCACAGGCCAAGGCCCATATATCAGCCCATGATGGTATTCCACCAGACTTTGGACTCGCGTGTGCCGAGTGTAGGAGGTCAACAGTGGCGACCAAAGTGCGAGCGGCACAGTGGCGGAAACGCACACGACACTGCATCGGGAGCACGCCTTCTGGATGGAAACGCGCAAGACTGTAGCAGGAGCGGCGAAGCTGACAATGACAAGGCAAGGGAAACATGCGGCTGCGAAAGCTAGAAAAGACGAGCGGCCCCTTGGCGAAAGTACGATTTCGGACGCTGGCAGTTCAGAGTCATGTACACCAGCGAAAGGGACGCTGGCAGTTCAGAGTCATGTACACCAGTGGTGATGAACTACAAGACCCGAGAGGCCAGATGGAGTACCAACGCAGTGGACCCGATATGACCCGATGAGTGTCTTGGAGCAAGGCGGTGGTGTTCTGGCAGGAGCAGGCATTCCACCCCGAAGCGCGAAGTGCTGTACTTCAAAAAGTGGGTGGACACGTCACAGGAAAGCGCAGAAGCATGCACCTCTTCTACATGCCAAAACGCAAAGGGCTTCAACAAACCTGCAAATCATTATGGGTAGTTTCAGAAGCCTCGAACCATCATACATTATGGCTTCTGCAAGGCTTGTTTAGAATACCCGCACTGCTAGCGGATACGGGGTCCATTCTTGAGAAGCTACCCAGATATGGGCCAAAAGTGTTTTAGGTCATTCAGAAGCACAGCCTGACATATAGCTATTTCAAAAGGCTGTACGAGATTTACTTATACAGTGTCTGTTGGTTGGATAGAAGGCCCGTACACTCCTGGTGCTTAAGCTTTGGCTTGTGCTTGCGGGCGCATACGAGCAAGGCAAATACAAGGCTTGGACAAGGCTCATAGGCGGCGTTAAGGAAGGTTTAAGTATGAATGTATACAGGTATGTATGTATGTTTGTATCTATGCATCTAAGTATCGATGTACCTATCCATCATGCATGTCCACATGGATGGATGGATGGATGGATGGATGGATGGATGGATGGATGGATGCATGCATGCATGCATGCATGCATGCATGCATGTATGTTATGTTCTGCTTGACATAGGGGTTTGCTTACGCTTTGTTGAGAAGCACAGAGGTTTGCACAGTAGAGGCGTAGATGGGACTTCTGTGCCATACATGTATAGGGTTACGCGCAGGTCCACCGGATAAATGCCGGCCCAACACCTCGCTCCCATTTTGGTACAGTTGTCGCCCGACCTGCTTGTGCCCGTCCTATTGACATGACTTGACACCCAGCAATGAAGATTGGTTCGGATAATCTGGCGCTACACCGGCTGGACGAGTCAGGGCAGCGAAGGACAAAGGTAGTGCTTGTTTTGTAGGTCATAAGGGGCCGACGGAGGAGAGGGAAGAAGTCGAAGAAGTATTGATTGAATTTCTCGGCCATGCAGTTGCCCTCCTGACGCTTCGCACCACTTTCTGCAGTGTACCTGGATGTACCTGGTTGTTTTGAGGCCCCCGAACGGGACACAGCCCCGCCCTGCTTGCCTGCTTCATACAAACAAGAGACGACCCGTTTGTGAGGTTGACCTTCGTGATGAGCATCTTTGGATCTTTGATCTGGGCCCCGACACACGTGTTTCTCGAACTGCATTCTGCCGGGGTATCAATGCTGTTATTTGTTCAGATTATGGCCGTGATCACCTTAAGCGATTCTACTCATGACGTTGTGCACAGTTTTATTCTTCTTCAGTTGGCTCACAACTGCTTCCATGATTGTTCCCAACATGGCCTTCCGCATAGCCTAAGACATCCTGCCCGTACTGAGCTAAGTAGAATGCCTGCCGAGCAGGCGAAACAGGGATAGGGATCAAACAACATTAAATTCGGATCCAACAAGTAAATTCGCTCAATAACAAGTTAAACTGGCAGAAAAGAGGAAGGAAGGAAGGAAGGACGCCTGCATTGGTGCCACACCCGCTCAAGCCAAGCCTGAGCACAACCAAGCCATCTGTAAGACTGCCCCTGCCCTTTTCGCTCCGTACCATCGCTGCTGCACAAGCTATATGACAAAAGGGTGCGCTTTGCTCAAGCCCAAGCCAAGCCAGCCAAGCTAAGCCAAACCCAGCCAAACTTGACCATCTTTAAGACAGCGCCCTTGCGCTCCCGGTGTAAGCGATATATACCAAGAGTGCGCAACGCACTGCTACTACTAGTACTAGTACTAGTACGAGTACGAGTACTAGTACTAGTACTACTACTACTACTACTACTACTACTACTACTACTTATTATACAACAACAACAACAACAACAACAACAACAACTACTACTACTACTACTACTACTACTACTATGACTACTGCCACTACCACTACTATACTGCTGCTACTGCTTCTACTACTACTACTACTACTACTACTACTATTACTACTACTACTACTACTACTACTACTACTACTACTTCTACTTCTACTTCTCTACTGCTACTACTACTACTATACTACTACTAGTAATAATAATAGTGATAGTAGCATTACTGACCCTTTTCAGTATTTGTTGATCCAAGTTTTGTTTTTGTTGATCCGTCGCCCTTATATTTTTGATTAGCCCTATTTCGTAAGCACTGGGTTAAGTTTTTTGTTGACCCTATTTAACATTATTTTTTGATCCTTGTGGCTTAATTTATTTCTGATCCGAATGCAACGTTTTTTTGATCCGTCACCCCAATACAAGCGAAGCGTAAATTTGCTCAAGATGCGCAGGTTTTTATACATGACAGAAGAGGGCGACTTACTCCCGGTGATCGCCTTCTCGGTGCTGGTGCTGCTGCTTGGACTAAGTCGGCAGACATACGGATTCAGATAACAAGGTATTACAAGATAAATTAGTCAGTCAGAACAGAACACAAAGCTGCCTACCTTAAGCCTCACATAGCTCACATGGTTGCGTCTTGCACCCGAAACAGGCTCTGTCTGGTGAAGTACTCGCGTGGTACCCAGTAGGGTTTAAGGCAGCAAGGTCTCCTTAGTACAAACACTGGCTTTAGAATATTCATAAACTTCGACTTCCTGCCTCTATCTGCCAACCCAACACATGTTGTCGTGAACGTAAAGTCTGGACATGAAGTGACAAGCTGCAGCAACACCCAAGTATGTGATCTCGTCATGGTCCAGTTGTTTGGAGTCAGCCTGAGGTTATCCTTGGGTCTTTGTGCCCCCGGCCGTCGATGGCTGGGGATACTGATGTGGAGGACAATGGTGCGAAGGGTAGAGCCGTAAAAAGCAACAGAAGTAGGTCTTGACATTGTCGTGCAGCTCTCACAGTGCTGAGAGGCCGAGAGAGTGGATGCCTGCCGAAAGCGATCTTGAATGATTTAATGCACATGAAGGCTAATACTAGGCAGGCTAGGAAGGCATGCATCATGCAAGTTGCACGCATCGCCAGGAGCCATGTTGATGTGAAGACAGACGGCACAGGCGAGGTGTCAGCCACGGTTTAGCGTCATCAAGACCGACGGATGCTACCGCAAGAACCAATAAGATTGCCAGAACCCGTCAGAAACTCCATACAGGCCCCGTGCAGTGAACAAGCAATTGCAAGACGTGCGCCATCGCCGTATACGCGGCATGGTTTGTCAAGGTGCCAAGGCTTGGGTTTGGGGCAGGAGCCTTTATGTAAAGCCCCACGCCGGTGGGTGCACGCACGTTTGTGTTTTGGGATGCCTCACTGAATTCGTCGTAGGTTCGGTGCACAGGGGTGCCAAGCTTCACCTGCGGCGTTGCGACGCGCAACCACAGAGTCCAAACACGGCAAGATTTCTCGCATGCTTGGCGTGTTTTTGTGTTCCATCCTAGAAGCAACCAATAAGCAGATGCCATCGGAAATCGGTTATGCCGTGGCCGGCATTGCAAAGCAATTTGCCGGATATTTGGTGGCATTGGAGCTACCTTGTCTTGAGGTGTTTTAGAACGATGTGAACTCTCCGAAAGCCTTAAGGGCTTTTTTAGGTACATGTAGCTTACTTACGGCATGTGCCAAACAGTCGCAGCCGGCGGTATGTTCGATAAGTGCAAGTGCCTTCTGTTCCAAGCGCAGGATGTTTTCGAGATTCGGGGTCAGACCTTCTGAGTTCTGTGGGTGGAACATTCGTGCCTTCGGGTAGCAGAGATTTTTTTTGGGGGGGGAGGGGAGGGGGTGGCTGAAGTGAGGGGTAGCACCGCAGAGCAATGCTGCTGTATTCTGACTCAGTGTGGATCGTTCGTGGGCCCACCACAACCCACCACCTGCTGCGCTCTATTGATGACACTGTTCCGCTTTGACAGCTGGAAATCTGCTCGAGTCTGGAGCTTTGAATTTCAGGTGTGTGGTGTTGGCTCCAGTGCCAGCACCTGGAGAATCAAGCTACAACGCATCACACTAAGCACATTTTACAGTTGCTTTGTGTAAATCCATGCTTTCCACAGATGCCTGTGCCTGGCACCCTAAATTTAAGCACACCACACTTTCAACAGAGCAATCCCAAACCGGTTCACTTGACAGCCGTCACAACCGTCTCTTCGCGAATTCGGACAGCTTGTTTCCAATGTCACGAAATTGCACCCTATCCTAGCCCGACCCCAGGCAGTCGACTACATGCTGAGAAGACGCGAAAGAAATCTGCAACCACGTCATATCGCACCACTAACTGCTGTCGGCCGAAAGCTCGTGGCTACTGGGCATGTAGTGACGATGCTGAAAACTCCAGCTTCAGGGAATTCGAGTTTACGATGAATGTGGAGCCGATACTTACACGTCGAAGTCTCTCCATGTCAAGAGCGGGGATTACGTCTTGAGTGGCGGTACAACCGGTAAAGGGATTTCATGGCAGGTTTGCTAGTCTTTCTGAGTGAATGAACTCCTAGTTGCTCCATACATGCAAGCCCGAGCCATGGACAGTGACAGCCCGCTGCGCAGACTGCGTCAAGGCACATTTCATGCAGTTGTCGAGCTGCGTGGAAATACATGCAAAGCAAGTTTCCCCACAGAGAGCCGCCCTCGTCTGTTCATGTTGATTGTGGAACAGGTGGCTGTATCGATGCATTTTTACCTGATTGCTTCTGCGCAAGTCCTGGCACTAAAGCGTCCCGCTCATTCCGAAGCTCCCCCAGCCCCCAGCCCCTGTTGTTACAGGCTTTTCCCTGTCATTTTATGTCAGAAGAGCCAGGTCAGGCCGACAGCTCATCCATCGTGCCGTCCACACCTTCCTCAACTCATGGTTACTTTGGTTGGTTCGGAATTGAGTTTCATGCAACGTTTGGGTAGGGCATCACGGGATAAAATATGCGACCTAGGGAAAGATGATGTAGGCAAGATGATCCATGTAGGGACAGCCTGTGCGTATACAGCCCCCCGTTCGCTAAGCGCCAGTAAGCAACTGCAGACTAGAGTCCTAGCAGCACAATCCTGGGTTCCAAGAGAACAAACTACTGTGGAGGTGCAGCAGTGCCGCAGCAGAGGCCCAGATCCGAAACATTTGGAGGCTAAGGGATTCCTGAAGTGAATCAAGAAGTATGTTGCTAATTGCAGTGGAAACACCCTTGTCTGACATTAGGGTTCAGGGTTGAGGGTTTAGGGTTTGAGGTTTAGGGTTTGGGGTTTAGGGTTGAGGGTTTAGGGTTTAGGGTTTGAGGTTTAGGGTTTGGGGTTTGGATTTTAGGGGTTTAGGGTTTAGGGTTTGGGGTTTGGGGTTTTGGGTTTAGGGGTTTGGGGTTTAGCGATTAGGGTTTAGGGTTTAGGGTTTAAGGGGGTTTGGAGTTGTGGGTTTACGGCTTAGGGTTTAGCGTTTAGGGTTTAGGGTTTAAGGGGGTTGGGGGTTGCGGGTTTACGATTTAGGGTTTAGGAGGGTTTAGGGTTTAGGAGGGTTTAGGGTTTAGGAGGGTTTAGGGTTTAGGAGGGTTTAGGGTTTAGGAGGGTTGGGGGTTTAGGAGGGTTTAGGGGTTTGGGTTTAGGGTTGAGGGTTGAGGGTTCGTTTTTTGGAAATGCATAAGGCGCCCTGGGCAGCTCTTCAGTTAATGGGATGATGCCTAAGCGCCGGTCCCACTGAGACTCCTTTAAGCTCTTTTTAGCGGGGTGATGCTTAAGCGCCAAAGCCACTGAGACTCCTTTAAGCTCTTTTTAGGGGGGTGATGCTTAAGCGCCAAAGCCACTGAGACTCCTTTAAGCTCTTCCCGGCCTCTAAACCTCCTTTAAACCCTTTCAACCCCCTCGAAACCCCCTCTAAACCCTTCTAAACCCCCTCTAAACCCCGCTAAACCCTTTCTAGACCCCCTTAAACCCCTAAAAACCCCCTCTAAACCCTCTCCAAACCCTTCTAGACCCCGTCTAAAGCCGCTCTAACCCCCTCTAAACCCCCTCTACACCCCTTCTAAACCCCCTCTATACCTTGCTCTTGCTCTTTCAAACCACAACCCTGCGCTGGCGCATCTTCGGCCGGAGGCCTCTAAAATTTAGGGTTTAGGGTTCAATCCACGTGTACACGCATAGGTATGCAGGGGGAAGAAAGCGAAGGCTAAGGTTTGGGTTTTGGGGTCTATTCGTGAGTGGCTCGCAACTTCTGCCAACTGTAACACCCAAAGTAAATAACCATGAACTCTTTGAGGTCCACTTGCGCCCTGACGTAGTTCTTTATCAAACAGAAGTAGAGGGTCCGAAATGAATGGGCATTGATATCAAGAGGGCTGCCAGATGGAGCCGTGGAGCGATGCGACCAACTTGTCAAATGTTTGGCCAAAGCACATGTGTTTTGAAGACTTGGACCAGGGATGTACAGTCATCAGAAAGACAAGACCTTAACGATGTTCTGCGTCTTTCGACCCAAACTCTTTCAGGCCATGACGCAGAAGCCCGCGAGGGTTGGATACGAATAGTTTGACGTCCCAAATCCTGGTAGGACCCAAATGTTTTCCAGCCCCAAACAAACTCTTAAACCCAAAAGCCTGAACCCTTTGTCCGAAGCAGATGGCCGAAACACGAACCTTGCATCCCAGAAGCCTTCTGTAAGTACTGAGTGCCAGATAGTGCCTGGGCCGGAACTTGGGATTGTGGGTTTCGCAGTAGGAGAAGAGGGTTTTTGGAATTAGGGTCGGATGATCTCAATCTCCGATGCCTGAAACCCCAGACCTTGCAATCTATCCCACCCGAGCCCTTCAACCCTAAGTCCTTCTCAACTCCGAAAACTGCCATACCGTGCAGGCTTGGGCATTTTTGGTCGCGAGCATACGCGGGAGCTAGCGCAGGCCGCGTTTAGGGATTGGTTTCAGCTGCGCGCCCGTCCATAATCAGAGTCGGGTTCTGCGGCGTATCAGTAGCTTCACTATATGGGGACAACAACTGGACATCGTTCAGCCGTCATTTCTTCCGACGCTGAAAGGAGGAATGTAGGATTTAAAGAACCCTATAGGGCTTTGTAGGGGTTTGGGGTTGCAAAGGATGGGTGTAGAAGGCCCTGGGGTTGCAAACGATGGGTGTACAAGGCCCTAAACTCCTTTAAAGGCTTAGGGGGCACTGTTAACTCTAGAGCTTGGACAAGGAATTGTTAAGGTGGTGTTTAGGACCCCTAGGGTTTAGGGCTTCGGATCCTAGGATCCATAGCATTGAGCCGAGCTTAAAGCATCAAGTCGACAGACGGTCTCCATGTTTGGTTTGGCCTCGCCGTTTTTGCAGAAAGCTAGGGTCGAGGGATACCTGGGATACCTTGTTTGGTTTTGTTCTATGTTGAGGGATGCGGCTTCAGAATGTCGCTGGAGGCTGTAAACCAGTTTGAATACGTCGGAAACGAGGTTCCGGACTCAGTGTGTCAGTGTTGAGTCTTTAATTTAAGGTGTAGGCAGCGTCGAAGGTTTGTGATACCGGTTTGGGTTTAGGGTTTAGGTAGGGTTTAGGGCTTAGGGCTTTTATAACCGCAATATTGCCACCTTCGCGGTCCTCACAATACACGACGCCGAGGGCAGGTATCTGGAAAAGTTGTACGGAACCCTACTTCCAAGCAACCGTCAAATAACATCCGACTTGAAGCCCGCTTCCGACAAGTTGACGAGCAGCACAGCTTGAGCGCGCTGAGTAAGACCAGCACAGCACTCTTGTTCAGTTCACATGCATAAAAACAAGCATCAGCCATGCGAAAACTAGAACCATAAACCCACACAAAGGAATCAGCCACGGACCAAACCGAGCAAGCAAACACCAATCAACTAACAAGGCAAGCAATCAAGCAACCAAGCAACAACAAGTCGATGAGACTACAGGCAATTGGAGATGTGGCAGCACCTAAGCCCCAAAACCCTGAGCATACATGAAAGTAGAGTGCAAGGTAGCAGAGAGTGGCGGAGACCGCCTCGAGGGGTCAGGCCTGAGAGTCGCCACGGGGGCTTTGGATTCGGGAGTGCACGTAAATTGAGTTGGTTCGCCCAAGCGAGGGTTTACGTAAATTGAGTTGGTTCGCCCAAGCAAGAGTTTAAGTAA